AATGAAGTTACAACCAAAACAGTCAGAAGAAAAAAAAAATGCAGTCAGTTAGTTATATATCTAGATAAAAAAATAAAGGCAATAAAAAACAAAACAAAATAAAGATATATTTTTTTCAAAATAACAAGGTAAACAATTTCAATCTCCATGTCTTAATTTCTTTTGTGAGTCTCCCTCGCAAGCCTACCAGCCTAGGGTAAATCTGTATCCCATCATAAATGAATTCTGGGTAATCTCCTCGCAAATATAGTTTGCTTTTGATGTTTTTGTAATTGGAATGGGTTCTTTTTTTTTTCAAATTTTTAAGCATGTACACCCATACTCTAATTAGAGTACCCTATGGGGAATATAGTTCAATTTCAACACTCGAACAGACAATACCAAGTACAATTTGGCTACTTGATGACATCAAAAGGTGCTATCACAACCGAACTGCAGAACTGATTTGTGTGTTCGAAAAGGCGGTTATGTTGAGAATACCGTAGCATTTATTGCAGTACACATGTTACTTATGTCAAAGCCTTCAAATAAAATTTTTCCAACATTACAACTTTAATGCATGTTTATGTTGTGTAAATTGTCGTAATAGGTCAGAGGTCACATTAGTTTTCCGTCCAGTCGCATGATGTTGGTATAATTATAAGCGACATATGGTAACACAGTTCCGATCATAGACATGACGTCTATATTTCGTTCCAATCAACATAACAATACGTCCCACATTTAGAGGAATGAGCAAACGCTATCGAACTGTACCTTGATATTCTGCAAACCATCTCGGGGTCCAACTTCCACAATTTTAACATACGACCCGAACGCATCGCCCTGCAAAAATCAAAGTCTTACCAAATAAATATAATTACAATGACAAATACATTCTGGTAAATAATCGATGGTATAGTAGTCCGTGCTTACCGCCGATGAGCTGTATGTACGCTTAAAACGCCTCAAAAGGTTTAACAACACAGACTTCCACACATTGGCGACGGCTGCCATTTTAACAAATCGTATTGGATGGCGCCCTCTTGTGGTGGGATTGTCAAATGGTCGCTCAACCATTCGTGTCTTGCATATGTGCACAATTCATTAATTATTAAACTAATATTATGTTTATATATGCCGTGAAAAATCAAATTGTAATGAAAATGAAGATTATGATACCGCTATCGCCATATCTCTCAAATTGGACTTGAGTAAAGTAGGGATTATCAGTTTTGTAGTAATAATAATAATAATAATAATAATAATAATAATAATAATAATAATAATAATAATAATAATAATAATAATAATAATAATAATAATAATAATAATAATAATAATAACGGCATAAAAAGTAACATACAAGTAACAACAACAAGAAAAAGACAAGAAAAACAATCTATAAAAAGCATTAATTCATACATGTAAATCATTCAGTTTCTCGTTTCTGAATTGCCATTGGTGGGTGAGAAAGTTTTGGATTTCGTTTGATGCATTATTTCCCAAATCCTTATTGATTGCCCTTAAAGTATCACTGAAAAGAAAATCAAATTTGAAATGAATTCCTCTTTTCACTATTGTATTGGTCAGTGCTGATAGAATTTACTTCTCAGTGGTTAG